AGAGCCATGTAGCAGGATCTCTGCTGAATGGCTGGATATAGATCTAGTGCTTCTAGACCTCCCCGAGGAATGGTGGTGGGGGGTTGGGGGGCTCCATTAGTGAGGGGTATGCATGTGATCAAAAACACAAAATGTCCCTATAAATGGTTCAGAATCTGTTATTCGGACATCTACAGGCTTCTATAACCTGATTAGAATCTAAACCTCATTATTTATCTGAATCAGAATAACTTTGATTTATTTATGATATAAATAAAATCTGTGTCTGTTCTTCCTTTGCAGACGGTATTTTATTAAACCAGTAGGAAATCTTCCCTGTAATGTTTCTACAGCAACCTTTAGAGACCAAAGACATTTTTTTCTAGATGTTCCAGGTGTCCGACGACGCAGAAGTTTTTTGTTTGTTTTCTATAGATGATATTTATTGCAGGGCGATCTTTATAAGCCGGATGGTGGGTCGATGTCTGACACTCTCAGGAGGTGTGAAGCTTTTTCCACGTCGCCTCCAGCAGCTCTTCTTTCAAAGAACAGCTTAGAGATGAGAAGATGAGGAGCTGGAGGCTCCAGGAAAGAATCCATCCGTCTCCTGATGAAGGCTCAGGTCTCGTTGGTCCAAACATTCATCTAAAATAAGCTGAATCTTCCTACAGTCACTCCTTACCTCCAGGAAAACTACCTGCTGATGTCATTGTTTTAACTAGATCCTCCTGGCATAGAGGATCTATTGGATTGCTATCTATGTGATTTCCTGTAGTGGAAACTGCCCAGGACGTCCTGAACCTTCTCCAACCTTCAGCCAGCTGTTTAACCAGGAAGGAAACTAAAGGCTTTGATTTGATGTGAGGCTGACATGATTTAGGCTCCTACCAGTTTGCATTTGTCCTCAGCTCCCTTCTTGTCCACCTCTGCCTGCTCTGCGCGGTCTATGGCGTTCTCCTTGTCCAGCTTCAGCATCTGCATTTTCTTCTTGATGGCCTCCATGGTCGGGTTTGTAGTCTGGCTCCCAGCAGCACAGCAGAGAAGACGGCTCGGTTATCCGGACGCAGACAGGAGTGCAGGAGCTCGCTGTGAGGATAAAGGCTTCAGAGAGACTCTGAGAGACAGCTCCCCCCCCCATCTGCAGGAGCTCCAACCACAAAGTCAGCACTGGTCATTGTCCATATTTAGTCAGGCAGAGATCTGTGTAGGATCAGGGGCTGATGCCAGCAGGCAGCAGATGAACAAAGCTTCATGGTCAGCTCCTCCATGGCTGCTTCTCTCCTCAGCTCAGGTGGGCGGCCATGTTTTGGTAGATTTTCTAAAAGCTTCTGCTCAACGAATGAAGGATCTACTGGGTTTATTTAGGATTATCAGAGTAAAAGAGGCTGAATCTGTTCAGATCTGATAAAGAAACATCATTCTGGTTTCCTTTACTTCCTTCACTACTTTTTATGAATCTATCAGGTTAAATTACACTGAAATACAACAAGCTCTGAGTTTTCTACCCTGAGTTATCTTTGTTTTTGTTTTGTTTGACTAACTTGTTTTTTGAAGTGCACAATAGTTGTGCTGTAAAGGTGGATGCACGCGCAGCTCTGTCAGCTTGATTCTAATGTTCTTTTTAAAGAGAACTTTAGCTTCTCCTTTATGGACCGCTCTCTGTTTTTCCAATGATTTTTTCTTCTGGTGTCCAAATGGAGGTTTTTCAGGTAGTTTTTCTTGCTATGAGGTCTATCCATGGAAAGTTGTTTTCATTTACACCTGAGAGCAGCTCTTTCACATTTCCAAAGCTGAAATAATACTTCCACAAATAACTCTGAGTTTAGAAGGAGGTGCTGAGGATGCAGAGCAGGAGCAAGACATTTAAACACTGCAAAAACAATCTAGAAATGATTAAAAATGTTACATTACATTACATTAACTTTATTTACCTTTCATTTGTGCAGATAGATAAGATGATCTGCAAACGGAATGAATATTTTTTTTACTCTTGGAAGTTAATTATTATCAAATAAGTTAATTAGATAAAATGCACCAGAGATAAGACAATAAAATGAGTAAAATGCACTTATTAAAAAAACAAAAAACACTTATTTAGATTTCCATTTATCCAGTGAACCATCTCTTCCACTAGTCATCATGGCCAATGTCGATCTTTAGGAAACATCTTAGAAGAACTCCCAGTCCCAGCAAGGACCCATCAGCAATGCAGCATGATGTGTTTGACTGAAACATGGCTGCAGGATC